TCTTTGATGAAGTTTTATTTTACAATTTCATATTGGAATCTGTGGACTTTTCCTGGACCCCTGGTTCTAGTCTAGCACTTCAAGAGTTGTAGATCTGACATATTTAAACACAAAAAAACTTTATTGTTTAGACTCTGATTTTAGATAGGTTATGCTGATATTTGCTTCAATATTATCTGGAAAGAGTTTATAAAGAAAATTTACAGTGTAAACAATACTGGGGAGGGGAAGACTGTTTACAGGAATCTAGTTATCTTCAATATAAGCAATTCATAACCTATTGCAAATCATTTGTATAGTCACAAAAATATGCCTCTACTTCCAGCTCCTAAGCAACAAATGTGATAGAATGGGGGTGGGTGAGGAATACTAAAGCAAATGATCCCTAAGGTCCCCGGCAAAATTTAGACTTTTAGAATAAATTTGAACTATCACCTCCAATTAGTTGGAGATATTGAAGCTTGAAAAGGAGAACAGCGTTGAAGACAGTGACCTATTGTGTTGAAGGTGCCATCAATTATAAGATGTATCATATTTTTGAAAGAAAAAACATTGCTAACTAAACTATGACACATCACCTGTAAGATGCACTCATTTTTAAAATGTTAAAATGTGGGGGAAAATATCTATCTTAGAATTAAGGAAATCTAGTATTATCTATCTCACATTGCCCCCACCTACCTGACGGCTTCTATTCAGTGACTTGTTAGACTTTCATATGGGGACATCTAGCCTTCTCCCAACTCACTCAATAGCGAAAACCTTTAGGCCTGTCCTTACTTGGCAGAGCATCTGTACTCCAAGTTCTTCTTAGAGTCTACAATCCCCATTTCTCTCTCAATCAATACTCAGCAAAAGCTTAGTTGAGAGACATCATGTTTTCAGGACTGGCAGCAGGATGTGCAGCCCATCCGTTTTTCTCTACTGTTGTTTACCCTTGGATTGAGCCAGCTCAGCAGAGAGCAGAGTACTGGAAACAACTAGGTAATCCCTCATGGAGAGGCTTTTACAGACTCTCTCTGGCATCCCACAGTCCATGCACCAGGGACACTGTTAGAAACAGCCTGAATTGTACTGAATCTGTCATCAAGGACACAGTGTCCTCTTCGTGAGGGCCCACTGAAGATACTTTTCAGGTCTTTCTGTCATTAATAATCATAATCATAATCATAATCATAATCATCATAATAAAAGCTTTACAGAAAAGCACACTATTCATAAGCGTACAACTGGATCACAAATTATAGCTACCGCTGAAATGAAAAAAAAAAAACAAACCATTACCAGCATTACTGAGGCCCCATCATGTCTTCTCCCCATCGCTACACTCACCCTCCTCCCCAAAGGCAGCCCCTGTTCTGATTTCTAACACCATAGTTTCATCTGTTTTTGATCCTTCCATAAGTGGAGTCATACAATATGTATTCTTTTAGTCTGGCTTCTTTCACTTATCATTATGTCTGTGAAATTCATCCATGTTGGTATGGTCCCCTGTGTGTATATACCACAATGTATTCATGTAGGTTGTTTCCGGTTCGGGGTTATATGAATGAATAATGTGGCCATTCTGGTGCACAGAGTAAGCTATTCTCTGAAGTATGTACCCAAGAGTGAAATTGCTGAGTTATAGGGCGGTGCATGTTCAGTTTTAATAGTTATTTCAAAAACAGTTTTCCACTTTGTGTGCCCACCAGCAGTGTATGAGAATTCCAGTTGTCCCACACCTTCATCAACACTCATTGCTGTTAGTCTATTTTTAAAAACTTATTTAAGACCTTTACTAACAGGTGCTTGTAGTTTGTTGACCTTTTTTTTTTCTTTAAAAAAATCAAATTGGAAACTTTTATTACAAATTAAAAACGAAGTTCTCAAAAACCTCAACTTGACAGATATGCAACAATTTAAAAAACCTTTAAAGGTGTATTGAGAAAAACCAGACTTTTTAAAACGCACAGTTATCATTACCCTGCTGCATTGATAATGCAGATAGTTCTAGTTATCTGGACAACAGGTGTAAAAGCAAGCACTTACGGTCTTCAGCTCCAATCTTTTGCTCATTTCTTATTGCTGGACCTTCATATTTATTTCTTCTTGTTGGATGACTAAACCTGGCGATGGTAGAGACAGTAAGCGGGCGTTTACTCAGCCCTGCCCTGCTCAGCCTCAGAGCAGAATTCTCAGCTGGTGGATGGGCTGTTTTGTCTCTGCCATCCTGTGGTTTAGGGGTTTCTGGACATCTGCGTCAGTAACCGAAGCTATGGCGGTACCGATGCTGAGGTGGCTGCTCACCTTTGGTCTCATCTCCTTGATTTTCCTTGTGCTCTTCATGGCTGTCTGTGGTGAAGAGGCCCCCGCAGAATCAAGGTCTATAGCCGCGATACGTACTCTGTCTCACTGGTCTACCTTGTTCCTCTGCACCCCGGCCGCCAGCACCCTGCATCGCTTCTCCCTGCAGAGGAGGCTGGAATGTTGCAGTCGAGGCCCACAGGGTCTCCGTCAGTAGTGAGGTGGGAACTGTTGCCTGTGGCAGGGCTGTTGGGCCTGGCCTTCGGAGGGCTCTCAGATCCCTCGTCCTCTCCCCCATTCTCACGCTCTGGTAGTTCCGGGGGTGATTGCGTGGCCCCTGCACGTGGGCAGTGTGTCTCATGGTTACAGTCTGCTGCGCATTCACGCCTGCGCTGGAACGCCACCGGGGCTAGTGACATTTGCCGCCTCTGCACCCTTTTCTCCTCCAACATCAAACTCCAGAGTTGAAGGTACTTCCTGGGGTCATCCTTCTTCACGGCATTCTGGTGCACAACTACATCTGCCGTGGTGTCGTTCCTGGTGATGAAACCACATCCCTTTCTTACAGTGAGCCGTTTTACTGTTCCCACGACTGCTGCCGGTGGTGGCGGGCTTGGTGTCTGGCGGCGCTGGGCGCAGGGCAGGGGCGGAGGCAGCGGCTGGGTCCCGGGCCAAAGCTCCTGGCTGCCGTGAGGCGACTGCGCGCCCGGCTGCTCAGGGCTCTCCAGGGTCAGCGCTCAGCTCCTGCTACGGATCCTGTCAGTCCCTTTATTTGTAGTCATTTTGATGAGTGTGTAGTAACTTCTTATTGTGGCCTTAATTATCATTTCCCAAATTCCCATTTCAGTATTCTCTTTCGTGAAGTATTTATTCAAATATTTTGTCAGCTTGTCTATTAGTTTTTTTTTTTCCTAACCGATTTACAGAAATTCTTAAACTATGTGGGAAGGGTCTTTTGTCAGTTACATGTACTGCATATGTCTTCTACCTTGTGGCTTCCTGTTTTACTCTCTTAATGGTGGCTTTTGGTGAACAGAAATACTAAATTTTAATGTAGTCAAACTTACTGCAGCTTTTTGTATCCCTTTAAAGAACATATTCTTCTATTTTTTTCTTGAACATTGTTTGCCTTTCATGTTAAAATGAACACTTCACCTGGAATTGTTATTATGCAAGGTGTGAAGTAAGGTTCAACATTCATTTTTCCCCCCATTTCACATGCAACTGTCCTGGCACCATTTATTAAAAAGACCACCCTTTCCCCATTGCTCTGCAATGGCACTTTTGTCATAAATTCAATGTCCACATATGAGAAGGTCTGTTTCTGGACTCGCTAGCCTGTTCCATTGGTCTATTTGAATATTCCTGTGCCAATCCTACATTGCCTTAATTATTGTAGCTTTATTTAAAACTTTTTAAAACTTCTATTTTAATTGGTAGCTGGTTTAATTTTAATCTTATGAATACTGACTGAATTGCGCTTCCCTCTCTGGTGTTCCACAAAGCACCCTTACTCATTCAAGTGGTTTGGTAAATATGTTGGGAAACGTTGAGTTAATCTAGTTTCTTTGTTGCAAGACTTCTACAGCCTTTAATGTGCTAATACAATATCCCTCAAACTTACTTTGCTACCCTTATTCAATATTCGACAACTACTGTAGTCAGGTATCACTCAGGATTCAAGTGTAGAAAACAGCAATTACTCTAGGTGTTTTAAGCAGGAACATTTAATACAGGGAATTAGGTGCCTACAAAAATCACTGCGAGACCAGGTGCTGGGCTACACTTCTAGGAATGACTCCCAGATGACCACAAAATGGACCCTCCCAAGGGAGGCACTACAAGCGAGGCCACCACTAGAGCTACTCAGCCCACAAACCCTTTACTCTTGCTGCCTCAACCACAACTGCCTCTCAATACCCAGGAAGTTGAACACTGTGTTCATGTCAAAACCCTCACATTTCTATGACCTTACTTGTTACCACAAAGCAGCAAAAGCAAAACAAAACAAAATGAACAACAACAAAAAACCCCACTAAAAAACCCATGTCTCACAAGTATCTCTGAAAGGCAAAATTAATTTTGCACCCAGGTCTATAACATTCGGTTCTCTGCAGGATAAGAAAGACACCTGGGGGTTGGGGTGGGGTGGGGGGGATGCAGACTGAGCTGTCTGAGCGACAGTATCCACCACAACTTACCAGGTGCCTGGTGTATGAGCCGGACACTTTTCTAGGCAGAGAATACATCTGTGAGCTTAGCGTCTAGTAAAAAAAGGCAGCTGTGGAACAGGTTAATGTGGGTGCCTGCTCCCCACCTCCAACAGAATTGCTATAACCATCTCTCCAAACCAGTGTTTTATGAAACACAATTTGGTCATGTTTCCCTCTTAGTACTGAAGGTAAGAGACAAATTTGTGCTTCACTTCTATCAATTATATATGATGTTATGGCATACATTCGGCATTTTAACTTTACCTTCATCTTATTAATTCTCACTCTTATTTTCCCTGTGTTCCTATTTCCTGATTTACTTTTTACCATAATGTACTATGTCTTTTTGTAAGTTAACTCCAATCTTCTCCTTGTAAAAGGGCGGATACCAATCACTTATCTGTCTGCGCAAAACCTCAATGTCACCCATGAGGAGCTGGCCCACTCCCAAATTCAGACTATCATTTTTGTTGGCGTCACCAATTTGATAAAGTACAAATGTAAAATAGAAGCATTCATTTTATTTCTGGTTTCACTTTGGTAATGAAAAGACCAATGAAAAGATTAAACGTTCAAGTAAACAACATATTCTTTGTAATAAAAAAATGAGTATAACATGCCTTATAGTATTTTATGATAATTGGCTTTATTAATGTAGAACAATTAATAGTAGCCATAAAAATTTATAATTAAATGTTAATATTACAAGTTAAATTATTATTACAAATTAAAATTTATTTCTGTTCCCTATATTGCCATTTAATTAGAGAAACAACAGCAATGAAATCTTGTTACCTTACAATCAATTTGAAGTAGGTTGTTCAGGAATATAAAAAGAAAGTATAGGTGGGAATGTATAAAAATTTGGCCAAACAAAAAGATTTGATCCATTCTGGCTCATAAAGCAAGATAATGTTTATGATTTTGAAAAGTCACTGAAACTTCTTCCCTAAACTGGTTCCTTTGTGATACATTTTCTTGAGTTCTACCCATGACTGCCACAGTAACAGCCCTGGGAACAGAACCCACACACTATTGAAAAATACCAGATAGACCCAAAAGTAGAGCCAATTCCTGGTGTTGAGGTTGGGGCTTCCCATTAGCCAGTCTGGAAAGAAGGTCATCCAGCCGCCATACAATTCACACACGCACAGGGTGATCTGCACGAAATGCCTGCGCGAGAGGAAGAAACAAGGGATGAAACTGCCAGCTCGGCACCCTGAATCATGACACCTTTTCTTTAATGGCAGCATCAGCACAGTCTCCCAGAGCAGAAAACCTCTCTGACGTTGGACCTCAGGTTTCGGGTGATGCTCCTTTGATGGGGCCAGTCAATAAAGACTCATCCATGCTTTTCTTGAAGAAGCGACACTGTCTTTTCTCAAAGACTATTTTCAGAGTTAAAAAAGGTCTCTCAGGTATCCTGTCCTATTCTTACGAAGATTTAGTGAGGTCACACCTGACTCAGCTAAGAGACCTGGATGGGAATCTTGCTTGAGGTGCAATTTTCCCCACTGTAAAAGGGGATAATAATAATAGTCCCTGGATGGACCTAGAAGGTATAGTGCTAAGTAAAATAAATCAGACAAAGACATGTATCATATGATCTCACTTATATGTGGAATCCAAAGAACAAAATAAATGAAAAACAAAACAGAAACAGACTCAGAAACAGAACAATCTGATCATTACCAGATGGAAGGGAGGTTTGAGGGGCTGGGTGAAAAAGGGGAAGGGATTAAGATGTACAAATTGGTAGTTACAACACAGTCACAGGGATGTGGAGTATAGCACAGGGAATATAGTCAATTATATTGTAATAACTATGTATGGTGCCAGGTGGGTACTAGACTAATTGGGGAGAGCACTTCATAAATTCTATACATGTCTAACCGTTATGCCGTATTCCTTAACTAGTATAAAATAATATTGAATATCAACTATAATTGAAAAAAAATAATAGTCCCTTCCTCGAATAATCTTGCAGAGATTAAATAAGCTACGTAGATAAAGCGCTGAGCACTGTGTGTGGCACATACTAGGTACTTAATAATGCGGATATTATAAATGTTTTAAATAATAAACAAATGGGTGCATGTAGTAAGCTTACAACCAAGATCATGGGGTCGAAGATATATCAAGGCACCAAGGAGAAATAATTTTTACTGCTGACTATCTGTGTAAAATTGGGTAGGGAAAAAGTGGATTAAATGACCCTCGAGGTCTCTTTCAAATCTGAAATTATTATGAAGCTTTAAATAAATAAGACTTCTTTGATGCAAGATGGTAGAAAACTGAATGCAATTGTACCTCTCTGACATTGTTTTAGGGAATCATCCCCAGGCTAGCCATCTGTTTGCCCCAGGTCACTTTGTCCCTAAGAAGAAGAGGAAGGAAGAAAGGAGGGAGGGAGAAAGGAGAGTTTGAAGTCTCAGAGTCTGACTGATGGATGGTTCATCTTCCACCTTTCTCCTTCTGCTTCCCATTATTTCTGCCTTCCTCATACCCCTATACCCTGCTTCTGAAAAGATTTCTTATTTATCTGGCATGTCTAATTACATAAGGGAATTTACTTTGTGTCGAATGGAATTGAAGTTTTCTAGAGTGATTTGAGGGATAAAAGGATGGAACTATTACCCTTTTATTCTCCAAAATATTGGTGGCAAATCATCCAGTGCTGTTAACAACGCACTTGCCTATAGCGTGACTAGGTTGTTACTACAATCACATTCCTCCTATTTTTTTTTGTTTTGAATGGTCTGATATGATCCTGGTGGCACCAGGATCCTTAGCTAATATCAGACAATTTTCGTTTTTACTCTACTTTTCATGTAACAAAGCAATGTGGTCACCATCTACTTTAAGTGTCACTTATGCATTGGGACAGCTAATATTTCTCTTTTCAGCAAGACAGGAGCAGGCACTTACCGATAATATTTCTCTTTGACTATGGCGTAAATGAGGATCAATGCCAGGGACCCATCCAGGACCACAGTCAGAATTTCCAAAGACACAATGGTTGGGTCAAAATTCAGCCATCTTTTCCCTAAAAAAAAAACACATTTTGTTACTTCTCTGGCAGTCATTTTAATGACAGTCAATGGAAATGACCTTTTTTTCCTTAGGGAGGAGATACAAAGAATAGTTGCCACTCTCTCTGCATTCTTCACAAAGCCTTAGTAGAAGGCAAGAGAAGCCCTGAGATAAATGCGTTTGCCACCTGACACAAGTAATAATAACAATATCATGTTATGTTGGTAAAATAATTTATAGTTTCCAAAGTACTTTCACATATGTGCCCTCTTCACCCCTCCCTTTTCATTATAAGTAACAGAATTCTAAATAAATTCAATATAGTCAGATTTTGCAAAGATGATTTTTAATAATTATCTTGGTAAATGTAATGTAATTCTTTACTTTAAAATTTCAGTATAAAGTCTATAAGTATAACTTAGATGTAGGAAAATTATTAAGGAAGTGCTTATTAAAAAACATGTGTTTATTAATAATTGAAGAGAAATTGAGTGCTGAGGGGCCAGAAAGTAGGGAAGGAGAATGATAGAGCCTGGACTTCAGAATGAATCTAAAATGGACAAAGTGGGCATTCGAGTCTGCTACAGGGGCAGAACCCACTAACAAAAGCCACTACGGAGACCTCAACTGTGCTGACTAGGAAGCAGGCATGCCCAAAGAAATCTTTCCAAACCCCATTATCACTATGGTTTCTTCTAGAAAGAACCACGAGGTACAAAAGTCTTTTTAGAGCTGGACTGTGAGAGCCATGCACTGGGCAAAGCCATAATCTCCTCCTAAGACCTCAAATAGAGTAAAAGTCCTCAACTCTTCTCTCCTTTTAAATACTGTTCTTACATTATCTAGGATAGGTAAAAAATTAGCAACATGGTCTGACTGAGCTGAGCAGCACAAAGCTCAAGTCTCTTACTGGCCAGAGTTAGGGTCTCTCAGCCAGGGAAAAAGGGTTCTAATGAAAGGCTGTTCCGAGGGAAGAAATGGCCAGTAAACAGGATTAGCCATTTGATGAGATAACACAGGGACACATGCTGAGAGCAGATTCTGTGAAGGGACAACACAACCAGGCCAGGCAGAGCCCTCTAGCCTGTCCTTGGAACTGCCAGCCATGAACTAACTGAAAACATAATAACGAAAACAAATTTTTCCTTTAAATTTAAGCACATATCATAAATTTAAGTAATATACAATAGGCAAAATGTACCCTTCAGTGCATCCAAATCTTAAAAAATATCACAAGTAGAATGTCAATGTTTTAGGAACTAAGAGATCAGTGGGTGTTTAGACATTCATAAATATAACACCCTTCATTCATTCTTTAATTCGACAAATCTTTTGGAGCATATGGAAGGCTCCGTGCCAGTAGCAACTGGGACAGAAAGTCTATCTGCAAGTGGCTCACATTTTAGCGAGGTCGAATCATGCAATGAGTGACGCTGACAGAGTATGGGGACATGGAAGACAAGGGAGATGAGGCGTTTTGATCACTTCTTCTTCACCCTGTTGGTGAGAGAGAGATTCCACCGTAGGGTTGGGTTATGGGGATGACCTAGACAGGTTAGACAGATGAGATCGATGGCGTTTTCTTAGCCACATATACTCTTAGCCTGGGGGGAAAGTCACTGTGCCATGCAGGGCCACATGGTGGTTGTACTTAGAGTGAACAAGGAGGGGCTGTGAGAGGCAGGCTCTGTAACAACAAGAGGACGGGGTGACCCTCATTCCAGCAGCAGGCCGGCAGGATGTGATTGGCTTGCCTGTGTGAATAATTCCGAGGGCTGGCAGGGAACGGAAGCCCACTACTCAGGGGTGCACAGGCACTGTGCTGATCCCTGAGACAAAGAGGGTTGTTCGGCAGGGTGAAGGGACTTGCAGTTAGGCCATCCAAGGTCCTCTTGAGTTTACCAGATGTCAAGACATGCAGAATATTGGATCTTAATTTCAGACCTCATACCATAAGAGGTGACTCTTGAACTGGGTGAAGGAGAAGGGTGTTTCAGGGTGGAGCATGTGCAAAGGCGTGAAGCTTAGAGAATATGGTATGTGTGAAACTATATTTAATTCAGCAAAGCTGAAGAAGACAGTGGGGTAAGGGGTGGGGGGCAAGGTTAATGCTGGAGAGAAAGGCAGGGCGGGAGACAGACAGTAAAGGCAGGCCTGGCTACCCTTCGGTCCCAGCGTACCAGGCCTCTGGTACCTCCTCATCTACTACTTAACCTCGACCATCTCTTTGCTGATTAAATACCTGGACAACAAAAGGGCAAACAGCATTAATAACGCTAATGCTATGATCATTATCATTTACGCTGTGAACAACTGTCAGGTTAGGGCAGAAGTTTGGAGGGAAGGATGCATGCTAAAGCCTGGAGTAGGTCTCCAGGAGCCATGGCTGGACCCTTGACCACAGGGCGGAGACTAGGAGATTTAGGAGATGATCGAGGGTGACAAAAACTTTCTGACTCCTCCAAGCCCTCTCCTTGATAAGGCTTTGACCTTGGGCTCTGTCCTTGGCCTGCTTAGTCCAGTTTAGAAAGAATCCTGCTCAGTCAGTTTAGTGAAAGTCCCCAAATCTCAATATCCGATCGCTTTTCTCTTCCATTTTTTGAGATTATAATTGACATCCAGCACTGTATAAGTTTAAGGTATAAGCAATATGGCCTGACTTACATACAGTGTGAGATGAGTACCACAGTTAAGTTTAGTTAGCATCCATTATCGCATGTAGATTTAAAAAAAAAGAAAAAAATGATTTTTGGTTTTTTTCTTGATGAGAATTCTTAGGATTGATTTACTGTCTCAACTTCCAGCACCATTAACTAGTCATCAGGCTGCGCATTACATCCTCAGTGCTGGATTCATAACCGGAAGTCTGTACCTTTTGACCACCTTCATCCAAATACTCCACCTCTGCCTCTGGTAGTCAGAAATCTCATCTCTTTTTCTGTGAGTTTGGGTTTTTGCTTGTTTTTTAGAGTCCACATATAAGTGAGATCATACAGTACATGTCTTTTTCTGACTTCTTTCACTTAGCATAATGCCCTCAATGTCCCCATCGCATTGTCACAAATGGCAGGTTTCCCTTCTTTTTATGGTTGAATCATATTCCATTGGGTACGTATACCACATCTTCTTTACCCATTCATCCATGATGGACACTTAGGTTGTTTCCCTATCTGGGCTATTGTAAACAATGCTGCCATGGGGATGCAGCCTCCTGATCAGATTCCTAAATCCCCTCTCCCTACATCTTATAACCCCGGCTGCCTTCAGCAAGAATCCTGTTAGTGGGTCTATCGAGAATCCTCCTGGCCTTGGCAGTTCTTCTTAGTAATTTTCCATTCACTGACCCCACTTTGCTCCTTGGCTATAAATCTCCAGCCGTCCTTGTTGTACTTGGAGTTGAGCCTGATCTCTCTCCCCCACTGCAGTAGTCCCTCTTGAATAAAGTCTTCCTTCCCATCTTTAACAAGTGCCATGAATAAGTCTTCTTTAACAGGGTCTACATAATGTTAACAGCCCTGCTCCACGTCCTGATAAATCAAAGGACAGTCCGCAGATCAATATCTGGGAGGCTTTACCCCAGAATCTGTATTTTAACAAGAGCCCCCAGGCAATTAGTACTCTTTAAAGTCCAAGCACTACTTTATATTATCTATTGGACTTTCACTTTCACGAGAATAAAGGGCACCTCCATTATATGAGTTTTCATTTTTTCAAGGTTGATTGATAAAGATCGAGTTAGATGTTTGCATTTCATGGGACTGAGACAAATCTGGCCTGTCCCCTTTCTCTGATGCCAGGCAGAGCAGCCAGGGTGGGAGGACAATCACTTAGGCTGGAGTCTTTCAGTCCCGGGGCTTCCCCAGCAATTCTCAAGCATAATTTAATCAGCATACTCACCAAAAATGCACAGCTGCATTTTGCTCAGCTGATGGGACTGAAGGAGCTGGACTCCAGGCACAGGGCTCAAGCTCCTTGAGCTACCACTGGCTCAGACCTGAGAGGCATCAAAGATGACCCACGTTTTGCTTTGAGGAGCACTAATTGTAGCTGGCTCAACTCTCTAGAAGAGTTTTCTAACACAAGTGGTGAACAGAAGTCCCAACACAGATCCTGGCTGGGGGATATGATTTCAGAATCATGGAAGCAATGAGATAAAAAAGTGAGGAATTTCAGATGCAAAATCTGAAAGAAGTTATCCTGTGCAAGGCATTTCTATGATAGTGGCCAAGTACCCGGTTGTGGCACAGCTCATCTGTCAGTGTTGACATAATACACGAGAGGTAGTTGATACTAATTTACAGACTGGTGATCAATTTACACTGAGCATGAAGAAGGTAAGAAAACTAGCTAATATCTTGGTAGAGCAAGAAGGTTTTTGGAAACAAGACATTATGTGTGTATACACACACACACACACACACACATACACATATATGAAAATTGATATTAAAAGAATGAAAAATATCCAGTTTAAATACTGTAAACTTTTCAATTTGCACTCACTACGAACATTTTTAATATATAGCTTCATTGAGATATAATTCATGTGCCATATAATTTACCTGTTTAAAGTGGCCCATCTAGTGGGTTTTAATAAATTCAGATTTGAATCACTATAATCTAATTTTAGAAGGTTTCATTACCCCTCAAAAGAAACCTATACCCATTATCAGTCATCCTCCATTTCCCTCCATCACCCCTTTCCCCACCCCATGCCCACGAGCAATCACTAATCTATAATGTTTCTACAGATTCGGGTATTCTGGACATTTTATATAAATGGAATCATGCAAGATGGGATACAGGTACTCATTTAATTGACAGTCACATTTGCAATTAATCTCCTCAAACATTTCAAATATAAACATTTTAAAATTACTTACACAACGAGGCAATCAAACCATCAGAATCTGCGATGTTTCCTATGAAAGACAAATAGACAAAAGGGCCTTCCTAGAGACAAGAAAATGAAAACATGCTCTAGTTTAGCATCACGACCACAGGATGGCACCACAGACACACAGTATGACACGGCAGCATCCCTCCCCCAGCCCACCCGTGGGCACTTTCAGAGCACTGCACCTATACCACCCCATGGGGTGCTATCCTGGGGCCTGCCTGGCTCCCTGACCTTGCAAATGGGTAAGTCCAGAGCTATTTTTCCAAGATTGACATTATAAAAGAGATGTGTTCTTATGGGGGAAAATAAAATAAGTTGAAAATTTTGCACAGGAAAGGGCTTAAATATTATAGTAAATAGGCTACATTCTGGATTGTTCCAGGGATTTTGCACTTTTGAGAAGTACCTTGCAGCAGAGAAACTAAATGTTTTTCAAAAAAAAAAAAAAAAAAAAAAAATTCCAAGCTCTCTCTTAACAAAAGTGGCATTCAAATTTCTATTCCAGAGTTGAACTAGTTCTTTTTCCTGCATAAGGGAAAATTTAGGAAAATTTAGGAAAATTTAAAATGCTTACAGGCTACATTTTAACTTTTAGGTAATGAAATATCTGCAATTACATGTTATTTTCCCATCGCTGAGGTACTTCTTTGCCTAAAATTTCAAAAACCAATTAACTAGAATTCACTGGGATATCTGATTGTCATGTTGCTCCTTGGAACACATTTTGTTGCTGGTCAATACAACTTTTTTTCTCATTTCTTTTTACCAAAAGAACTGCTTATATGACATTAAAATTCTGTCTCTGCCTAATCCCTGCTCACTTCTAGTACCACTTTCCAGGTGTTGCCACTTATCACAACTTTTGTCTATAGTTCTGGGGGTCATCTTCATAGCTCATAATATATACTTACACTGCTATTTCTTTAGATGTTATCTATTAACTGCCCATACTGAAAAATTATTTAATTTATATTGTTTCCCTTCCCTTTCCCAGTCCTTCCAGTTTTTAATAGTGTAGGGGAGGAAAAACTTCCTTCTACCCTCTTAGGTTCTGTAGCTGGTCTAAGAATTAACTGACATAAGACAGATTAACAATAGAAAACATATAAATTTTATGTAATACTTTTTCTTGTACATAGGAGTCTTTAAAAGGAAAATGAAGATCTGTAGAAGCTGTTAGGCCCCAAAGTTAATATACCTTTTTACAAAAAGAATAATAAATTACAAGGATGTAAGAATACAAGGGGCTTGGACTAGGGACGGTAAATTGTGGGAAAATGACTAAGAAATCTGCAGGGAAACAAATGGAAAATGAGGGTTATTTGAGTAGGTCTTTTTGTACAGGTTCATTTTGGCATTGACTCCCAGCCTCTGGTGATAAGAATGTTCTTCCCTTCCTGGTCCGGGGAAGGCACCTTTCTCAGGGGAAACTTTATGACCTGATTTTAGGTAGGAAGGGAGAAATCAGAGAGCCTTTCCTGCACCTGCTGTTTCTCCAGTGCCTTCAGCTCAAAATAATCAATATGCCTAAGTGGCATATTTTGGAGTGGCATGTATTGAACCCCTTCAATAGCTATATTGTTCTCTTTAATTCTTCTATTAGTTACCCAAATTTGTAACTGAAGTAATAAACTTAAAATCTCAGCTTACTCACTCATCAGTGTCGTGTGTCTGGACTTCCTATCGTACAATCGGGACCTGATAGCTCCACCAAGCTCTCTCCCTCTCCTCCTCATTTCCAACTCTCACCTTCTGTTCACTTTGCTTGTACATTGTTGAGATTGATTATATTTCCATTCCTGTTCTGTAATCATGTTTGTCTTCCCTATTTTATCTATAAGTGAATTTTAAAAGCTGAAAATCCAATCAAAAGGATCTACAATATGGTGATTATGTAAATATCATTCACTGCAATGGATCGCTGCTTCTTTCTCTACAGAGCCAGTATTTTGACTCCTTGTCACTTAAGGAGAATGTGGCAAATGGAATATTATTTCTTACAATCATAAATTTCTCAAACTCATGCTATATTTTAGTTTACTTCATATTTGAGCCATAACATTTTACTTTTTTTAAAAAAAAATTCCATTTTTAAATTACAGTTGGCATACAATATTATATTAGTTTCATGTGTACAACGTAGCGATTAGACATTTATATAACTTACAAAGTGATCACCCCAATAAATCTAGTACCCCCCTGACACCATACAGTTATTAAAATATTATTGACTATATTCCCTATGGTGTACTTTACATCCCCATGACTGTTTTGTAACTGCCAATTTGTACTTCTTTTTAAAAATTTATTTATTTTGATTAGTTTCAAGTATACACTATATTGGTTAGACATCTATATAGTTCGTAAAACAATCCCCCCAATTGCTCCCTCCCTCCCCTGACCCTCCACCTAGCCAAAATATTAATGCTAACTGCATTCCCTATGCCGTGCTTGTGACCATCCATCAGCTACTAATTTGTACTTCTTTAACCCTTCACCCCATTCTCCCAGTCTCCCAATCTCCTTCCCCCTCTGTCCATCACCAAATTGTCCGCTATATTTGTGAGTCTGTTTTTGATTAGTTTGTTCTTTTTACTCCTTAGATTCCGCATATAAGTGAAATCATATAGTGTTTATCTTTCTCTGTCTGATTTAAATACTTTCTAGGTCCATCAAAGCAAAATCTTTTTCCATATCCTTCTTTTTAGTCTATGTGTGTCTTTTAATCTGAAGTGAGTCTCTTGAAGGCAGCATATGTAGGGGTCTTTCGTATTGTTTCAGCCACTCTATCTTTTGGTTGGAGCACTTAATTCTTTTCCATTTGAGGTACTTATTGATGAGAATGTAGTTGTTACGATTCTTTATCCTTGTTTTTGATACATGTTTTTTCTTCTTAAAGAAGTCCCTCCAACATTTCTTGTAATACTGGCTTGGGGGGGATAAATTCCTTTAGCTTATTTTTGTCTGGGGAGCTCTTTATCTACCCTTCAACTCTAAATGATAGCTTTGCTGGATAAAG